TACGACTCAGTAATAATAAAAAATGAGCAAAAGTTCTGAGGTCCATCAAGGCAGACATACGAATGGCTAGTAAGTCCATGAAAAGAGGACTAAGCAGTCACTGGGGAAACGTGACGGCACTTCCCAGGACAGCTCTGCCAAGACAACAAGCACAGGGTGGGGATGGGCAGGTAAAATGAGGCCCCCCTCCTCTGCTGGTGGGGGTGACCCACAGGGAAGGGCTTTGCAAAACAGTTTGGTAGCTTCTTAGAAAATTAAACGAATTTACTCCACACCCCAGCAATTCCACATCTCTGAATATAACAAAAAGAAATGAGAAACACTTGTATACCAGGGTTCATGGCAGCATTACTCAAAACAACCAAACAGTGGGCACAACCCAAACGCCCACTCCCCAGTGAGTGAGAAGACAGCAAGTGGAAAGGGAAGGAGCCGCTGGCCACACCACAGCACGGAGGACGGAGACCTCATCCCCCTAAGAGAAGGCCTAAGCAGAAGACTCGCCATTGCAGGGCTCCCCTTACAGCCAAGTATTCACTAAGTCTGAAAGCAGACCTGTGACTGCCTGTGCCTGACAGTGGGAGCGGAGACTGGCTTCAAACAGGCATGGGGATCTTTCTGGAAATGCTCTTAACACATTTCCTCACTGGATCACAGTGAGGCTGCAAAACCCTAATAAAACTACTGGTTTGTACACTTGCTGTAGGTCAAACATAGTAGCATGCTTGCTACGTGTCCTAATAACCCTGTTAAAGCAGTCACGCAGGGAAAAGGTACCATGCCTAACCAGACTTTCTCAGGCTCACACTCCCGAGCTGTTAAATGGTCACTCCTTGCTTGTGCGGGCTGCTCTGTGCCTATGGCTTGTTTCACTGTCCACCCACCTAATGCCAGTAGCAGAGGTCCCCTCACCCCAGCTGTGACAGCCAAAAAGGCTCCATCCACGGCCAAGTGCCTGTGGGGAACATGCCCAGCTGAAACCACCGGTCTAGGCCTGCTTGTCACCTGACACCTTGTCAGAGCCGCCCGTGCTGCTCCCTGGCACCCCACTGCAGGGCAGCCCTCGCTACTGGAGCAACGATACTTCCACTTCACTACCACAGGGCTGCTGCGATAAACTACCTCACAGAGGAGCCTTTTGGATACTGACATGAGATGCTCTATGACAGTTTTCAGCAAAAAAGACATTTTGGCCCAGAGATGGTCACTGTGACCACACACTGGCCAGGCAGCCTGGCAGGAACAGCAACAGCCTCCGAGGATCTGGGATAAGCACTTTCCCCCAGGCCCAGATGCAACGGCAGGAACCCGGGGGTGGAATCACCAAGGACAGCAGCCTTTCAGCAAGGGAAAGGTCTTTCTCAGGTAACCACCACGGCCTCAAAGGCCTGCTGGTCTGGACAGGTGATAGCAGCACCAGGCAGACAGGGAGATGATCAGTGCCAGCAGCTCCTGGAGGCCTGGGGCAGGACAGAAGAGGACACAGGACTCCACGGAACTTCCACCCTGCTGGCCACTGATGACGCCAGCTGACCTGCTCCACAGGCTCCTTCTATTCCACAGAAACACTCCCAGCTGCACCCCAACATGACAGCTTCGACAACAGCGTCTCAAAGGTCATGGGCTCTAGGGCTGGGAGCAATCTTAAGCTATGGATCCAAGCAAAGTTAGACCACTTTTAATTATTTATTTGTTTGTTTGTTTGAGACCGTCTAACTGTGTAGCTGAGGCTGGCCTCAGACTCATGGTGATGCTCTTGCCTCAGCCTCCCAAGTATGGGATCACAGGCATGCACCACCAGCCTGGCAGCTGGACCACTTTGGACCCAAATAAATGAAGGTCAGAGGGGCCAAGTGACTGGGGAAGTGCACAGCTCTGGAGGCCCACTCCTGTAACCTGCAGTCCCAGCCACACTCTGTAGGGCGGCAGCTCACAGCCCATCAGAGGTACCTCCCCCTTTTAATCACAGATACTGCCTGTGGTGACTCTCCTGCACAGCCCTGGTCTCATTCGTTAATTTGCCACTTTCACCAGCCCGCTCCCTTGGCCCTGTCCTCCCTGAGGAGGGATCTGGGTTCACCCAGGACAGATGCCTGTGCATGGGCCCTGACCCAAGAGCCCTCCGTCCTCTGCCTGAGCATCTCAAAAGGCAGGACCTCCACTTCACTGCCCCAAAGAGAGAGAGGCCTGGCAGGCAGGTTCCATGGCAAAATCCAGCAGCACCAGGCGCCACAAGGGCTTGGTGTCCAGAGGCACAAGGGCCAAGAGGCGGCCCTGGAAACCATCCGAGTAGAAAGAGGAGAGCCTATCACAGAGGAGCAGAAGCCTAGCCAGCTGTCTGCCAAAACAGAAGGGTGAGACGAACTGACGGGAGGACAGTTAATTCCCTAATAGATGTTTAAGTACATCGGTAAATGGCCTCTTGTTTGTGAAGGGTCTGGAGCAGACCCAAAACCCACAAACTCACCAATCTTAAAGCAGGGGAATTCCACAGGAATGCAAAGCCTTACGCAAACATAGGAGTGCTTTCCCCAAAAACAGTTCTAATTGCTTTCTTAAGACAAGTTTTCAAAATATTGGTTTAACTTTATACCGTTTATTTAAAATTTGTAATAGTTACCCTAACAAATTTTTAACAATGAACACTTTTAAACAACCATACTGGAGGGTGTAACTGTGCCTTCAACAAGCTTCTACATCCATCTAATGGGTGCACCAAAGAGCAGACACCTCCTGAGCCCTCCTGCACCCACAGATGCCAATCTGGCCTTGCAGGACCTCCCTGCACATTTGCACCCTGCAGCAGGCACACTAAGCAGCTACATGTCCCTGTTGACACAGGACACAGGAGACAAAACTGGAGGTGACACCTCAGCTCACACACACGGTCTCTCTGCTACACCTGCCACGCACTCCAAGACAGCACTCGGGGGCTCGTGCCAACCTACACCTCCCTTGCACAAGAAGCTCGGCACTGCAGTGCCCTTATGTGCACTCCAGTTCTCCAAGGTCTGAAAATATTCAACAGAAAATTCCGGAAATAATTCAAGTTCTACATAACTTTTATTGAAAATGCTATCCTATCTGTTCTATTTTACTGGTTATTGTTGCTAATCTCCCGCTTTGCCAAACTCAGCACTTAGGCTTCATGGCAGACGTGTGTACCCAGGAAGAAAGAGTCCTTAGCATGGTGCTCAGTGCTATCCACAGTTTGAGGAACCCACTGTGGGCTTAGAACATATCCCCCAGGGTCAAGGGGGCCAACCATACCACATCAGACACAAACACAGGAAACACGAGTGTTCAGACAGAAAAAGCAGCTGCCACCACCCAAGTAATGTCAGGCGTACCATCCGTTGTTTGCATGGTATCTGATGATTTTTGAAGTAGCCTGTTTATCAAAACCTTTCACATATGATCTAACCTTCATGCAGCATTGATGTATTTCTCAACCTGACCTGTGGATCATGATGAACAACTGTGACGCAAGCAACAGGCAGAATGTCCTGTGCGTGCACAGAGCACATCTCAGGCACAGGCACTAGGACGCTTCTTCCTGTCCCCACCCACCAACGCCTGCTCCATCTGATAAAATGCAACCAAAAACCTTCTAACTAATGCAAACAGCTCACTCCCCAAGCAAGAAAAGCGGGAGACTGATGACAAATTTCTAACTCCTAAATTTTACCCTCCTCATTTTACTGCACATCTGAGGGAGAAAGAAGCACAGTGCAGGGTGGGCTGGGGGCTGCAGAACACTCTGTAACCTGCCTGCCTATTTGTCCTTCCAGGCAACACCGCTTCAAGTTCAACACCCTGAAACCTACCATGGGGTCAGGCACCACACTGCTCCCCTGCACCTCAGGACTGAAAACCAGAGGGCCCATCAACCCCGTGGCGGCAAGCAGGAATAAGAAGTCGAGCTGAAGGGGAGGAAGGAAGGAGGAGCAGTGCCCACCTATGGGCATGCAGGCCCACATGCACCCACGGCTTCAAGGACCCTTTCTTTACTGCCAAAACTTCAGGTTTTTAGGGATTTCTGGAAGCCAAAACCACCCATATAATTTGGGGGTAACCACTGAAATATTATGATATATATATTTTTTGGTTTTGACCATGATTCCTGCTTATTAGCCCTACCCCAAGGCAGGTCTTAGAATCAAGAATGTCTCTTCCTCTGACTGAGACATAAACTCCAGCCTTCCCTTCCTTTCTGTTTTGGAATGGACCATAACTAGTCTCTGATGTACCCCTGGCTGACAGTAGGTCATAAGACATTCCTTGTGCCTCGGGAGCAACCACACAAGCGCAGTGAAGTCTCCCTAAAGCCCTCTGAACGCCCTGGGGACACTACGGAGGGCACAGCGCAGGTGGGCTCATGAGGAGGTCCACACGACACCCACATGTCCTCCATCCAGCCCCTTACGTGCACCCTTTAAGTATCCTCTGCTACAAGTCAGCAAACACAGGGAAGTGTTTCTCTGAGTTCTGGGAGCCTTAGTGGGGTGACAGGAACCTCAGTCTACAGCTGGGCTAGTCAGAAGTTCTGCAGACTGGACTTGTGACTGGGACTGAAGTGGGGGCCGTCTTGGAGACAGAGCTTCTGGTTGTGGGACTGGAAGACTCTTCTGAGACAGTACTGAGCCTGAACTGCAATAGGGGATATCTGGCTGGGGTCCACTGCAGAAGCGGGCTTGCCTACTGGTGGGGAGAAACTCCCACACCCTTTAGAGTCATAGAAGTTATCCATGTTGATTGTGGTGTAGAGCTCATTTTGTTTCTCCTAATAGAACACACTGTTTCTGGAAACTACAAACATGATTCATCACTGAAGCTTTTACTGAAGCTTTTACTGCTTCTAAGCTTTTTCTGCAGCTGAGAGTTACAAGATCCACTTGCCCTGTCCCCCCAGTCAGATTCGGAGCACAGGCACGCTGCTAAATGTGATTCTCAGGTTCTTTAGTAAAGCACTAAAAACTTATAACACACGAGTAACTTACATGATCAATGCCTCCCATTCAAAAAAGTTCTCTTCGTTCATGGGGCCTGCAGGGAAAGAAAAACAATCCCACAACACTTTAACTCTAAAGGCAACTTTGGTGCTTAGAAAAAAATCATAAAGAAGTTACCTAAGTCTCTTACCTGCCACAATTCCTTCTGGAGGGTTCAGTGTTAATTCTACAAAATAAAGAAGTGAGATGATTACCCAACAGAAGGGATATTACATTGTCATTCTAACAAAACATTTTTACAAAGCATATAAGACTATACATTATAGAGTCCACACCTTAAAAATAGACAATTCTACTTGCCCAAAGTAAATGCCCAGTCCAGTTACAATATTGATAAAAACTATATGAACAGTTCCTTATACCAACAACACAAAATTCCCACTTTACAAATGAAAACAAAAACGAGGGGTAAGCTATCTTTTAAAAAAACTCCCACTGGTTACTTTGATTAAAACTCACAAGTCTAACACAACCTGTTACTCCCCAACTGAAGAGTATTTCCTATCATTTTAAAAGGCATGTGACTGTGACAAAGTAGAGAAATGAGCGAGAGCCAAGGCAGCAGAAGTTCAGCATTATCAAACACACTAAGCATTTTATTTAATACACTCTGCAAAGTCAGTGAGCCCCACAGACCTGACATCCCAAGCACAGCGGGCATCAGCACTGAGATGTAGTAAAAAGGTCCACTTTGCACTCCCCGGCAGCTTAAGACTGTAAGATGCTCAAGATGTAAGGCCTGCTCTGCCCCTGTGAAGCTTCCGAAAGGTGTCACTTCAAAGCCTGGCTTCATTTTCACTCTGGCTATGTGTTCACATAGCAAGTGTCTCTAAAGGTCCAAGTGTTGGAAACTTGGTCCTGAGCTCACTGGGAGGTTATAGGTCACTGGCAGCAAGAGGGAGCTTGTGTGCAGCCCCATGACGGTTCTCACAAGAGTTGCTGCCTGGGGTATAAGCCTGCCTGACCCTCTGGCTTCTTGCTATGACCTCCTTCTTGGGCAGACACTCCTGCCACTGCCATCTGTCATCCAACACTGGCTAAATAAACCCCATTTCTTTATAAAGCTGTCCATCCCAAGCATTTTGTTACAGTAATGAAAAGCAGACTAACACCATCTGTTGGTATAGAAGAGTCCAAAATGAAGTCAAAGCTGTGGATAATGAGAAGCAAAGAACAGAAGGAAAAGACAAAAGTCACAGCCATAGGGCTTCAGTGTGGGGAGGAAAACCAGGCCACAGAACACACTCCCCACCAATAAAAAAGGAAAGACAAGAGATCAGCAAAACCAAAAGGTGGTTGCTTGGAGAAACAGGAAATTATTAAATCCCTGCCAAACAAATACCATGTAAGGCATACAGGATAGAAAAGAAGAAAGCAACCTCATATTCACAGACACTAATCCTAGCCTGTAAACTGGAAAAATAAAGCTTTTCCCATCTGACATGGCACACAAAAATGCACCTACAGTCTCTCATCATTTAATGAGGGGAACACATTCTGAGAAACATGGCACAGACCTCACAGGGCACTTACACAACCCTGGCTCTCCAGGACAACTCTGCATGGCCCACTGATGGAATCGAGAGACACAGCAAATGCAGCATGGGCGAGGCAGCCTCTAGGGTAATAGCCACACTGTTCAGGGCACAGTATGCCGAATAAATAACTAGGAGGAGCACAGTGGAAAATAACTCAAAGTAGAAGCAACACATAAACCAGTAACAGACTTCCAGGAAGATGGCAGAGTGGTAAGCAGCACAGATAGACCCTCTCCAAGACTTGGTGTCTAGACACTGGCATGTGGCAATGTGAGGAAGAGAAGGAAGGAAGGAAGTGGGTCACCTGGGCCCAGGAAGGCTCTGAAGCAAGAATCGAAGCCTATGGGGAGAATGAAGAGAAAAACTTCAAGGAAGAAGGAGGAGGTCGTGGACAGCACCTTCTCCAAGTTTGGGACTCACTGCGTGGGACAACCAGTTCAAACCTGCGGACACACACTGACTGGTGGCAACCCTAGAGGCCCCCACAGAGAGACGCAGCAGTGGAAGAGGGCAGTGGACTGGAGGACTGCACTGGCTGGTAAGTGGCATGGATTCAGCTGCCCAGTGGGAGAGGGCAATTGGCCGGGAGCCGTCTTAGAGAGGGGCCAACTGAGGTTAGAACTCAGTCCTGCTGGCTCCATCTAGCAGCTTCCAGCTGAGTTCAAGCCCTCAGAAGGTGCGCTGACTGCTACAGGCTGAACAGGTCTGGTTCCAGCCTCATGGCCAGAAACCAGGCTGAACGTCAGGGGAAATAAAGATGCAGCTTGCTGAGATTATCCACCACCCTACCATAAATCTACTGCTGACTTGCTCGGATAAATCAACAGGGATCTGGACTCTGTGTCCACACACTGTCTACCAGAGACTGCAAAGACACACCCTAAAGTGGACACCTTTTTTCCTCTTTTTTTTTTGGTGGGGGGGATCTCTTCACTGTTTTATCTTTTTGTGAGTGTGAACATGGTTTGTAATTTTTTTTCTGTTCTTCCTTTTACTTCTTCTCTCTTTTCCTATCTTTTTTTTTTTTTTTTTTTTTTTTTTGGTACCGGGAATCGAACTCATGACCTCAGGCTTGCCAGGCAAGCGCTTACGCCACTGAGCTACAGCCCCAGCCCTCTTTTCCTATCTTCTGTACCAGTTTCCCAAACTTTGTGTGATCTTTTTTGTCCTCCACCATTGTTTCTAATCTCTTCCTCTTCTATTTCTCTTTTTTTTTTTTTGTACCAGGAATCGAACTCACAACCCTTGCTTGCTAGGCAGGTGCTGTGCCGCTGAGCTATACCCTCAGCCTATTTCTCTATTATTTTCCCTAGCCCCTTTTAAATTTTCTCCCCTGAGGGTAAAATTGGCATATTGAAGGCTTATTTACTGCATACAGTTTACTGGCTTGTTTTAGATTTGGTTATATAACCACAAATCTAGTTCATAAGGTTAGAGGTGGTAAATAATGGTTACCTCAGTTTGTCATTTCTTAGTCTATGTTTGATGCTACTGTTATTGCTGATCGTACCACTTTGGCTAATGTGATGTAATTGTTCTATGCAGCTGTTCTTCCTAGTATGCCAAGACTGAGACTGCCTAAGGGTCACAGAAAATATTTTGGGCCAGTGTCAAAGAACCAAGCACGCAGCAACTTCTCATTCCCAATAAACTGAAGAGGTAGGATCTTGCAACAGACTCAAAACCCAATAGCCAGCTACACTTGGAAGACACCTCTGAGAAGTAATCATTTCCTAAGGGTTCTAAACACTAGCAATAATGCTACTCACCATAGGCAATTTACAAGCATCAACCCAGGAATTCAATTTAAAAAATAGAAAATGAGAAGACACTTAAACAAGATGCGACCCCTGACATTTAGTTCACCAAAGGCAAACCCAGGGGGTAATGAGATGGGACAATGCAAAGCCACCCACTTGGCCTCTCTGAAGCAGTAACAACAAAGCAATGAGGCTCCAGAAAAAATCAAATCAAAAATAATTTCTCAGATAACTACAGAGACAATGACTACAATGAAAGACATGCTTAGTGATTCCCGAGCAGATACAGATAAAAAAAATACAGGAGCTTAGGAAAATCATAGAAACCATGAATGCCCCAAATAGGAAAGAAATGGAACCCATCAAACAGATTCAAGCAGATATCCAGGAGACTAAAATTTCCACTGAAAGTATCTGCAGCAGAATAAGCCAATATTGAGGACAAAATCTCAGATATAAAAGACAGGTTTGTGGTCAGTGATCACAAAAGAAAGATTTCTTAAAAATAACAAGCAACCATGAGAAATCAACCCACCAGCTGTGAGATGATGCGAAGAAGAATAACATGAAATTGACTGGAATCCATGAAAAAGCAGGAGATAGCGCAAATGACATAAAAAACCTGTTGACAGACATCGTGGCACAAAACCTCCCTGGCAGGAAAAAAAGAATTCAACATACAAATAAATGAGGTAGGTAGATCTCCAATTAGCCATGATTTTTAAAAAAATCTACAGCAAGGCATATAATAGTCAAGATTCCAGAAATCAAGACAAGAACAGAATATTAAAAGCTCTTAGAGGGCCCCTAGCGCACAGGGAGCCTCGGGCAGGGAGCGCCGGTCTTTGGACCGACAACTCACTCCCGGCCTCAGCTTTTCCCGGAAGGAGGGCTTCGGGCGCACAGGGAGCTGCGGGTGGGGAGCGCCAGCCTTCTGGCTG